GGGCTTGGGGGGCAGCTGGGCGAGGGGCCGGGGTCGGGCGGCTGCCTCAGCGGCGATCCAGCCCCAGCGGCTCCTGCCGCCCCCCCAGCTCTTCTGGACCTACATCCAGGCCATGCTGACCAACCTGGAGAGCCTGTCCCTGGAGCGCATCTACAGCATGCTACGCATGTTCGTCATGACTGGCCCTGCGCTGGCCGAGATCGACCTCCAGGAGCTGCAGGGCTACCTGCAGAAGAAGGTGCGCGACCACCAGCTCATCTACTCGGCCGGCGTCTACCGCCTGCCCAAAAGCTGCAGCTGACGCCCCGCCCCCCCCGCCCCCCCGCCGCCGGCCAGGCCCTCCCTGCGGGCCCAGCGCCTTCACAGGATGGACAGCCCTCGGCCCCAGCCCCCAAACACACACAGCCTGTGCAGATTAAAGCCGGTCGGCTCACCATCTCTTCCTTGTTCTGGGGACTTTGTGGTGGAGGAGTGCAGTGGGGCTGGGAGGCCAGCCCTCACGGTCGATGTCCTGAGACAGAGAAGGGGAGACGCCGGGGACAGGTCCGCACCTGGCACACCAGTCTGTGTTCAGGCTTTAAACCTCCTAGCGGGGTCCTGGGTGGGAGCATCCTGCACGGTGTTCTGATCTGGCGGCTGCACCCGCCGGCATCATGTCTGGGCCTGCAACTCAGGCGGGAGCACACTGGGGGGCACTGCCTGCAGGTTTCTCCTGGGCTGCCCTCTAGCCACTTGGCAGGGCTTCTAGCCTCACTTCTCCGCCCTTTGAAAGGAGAGGGGATCACTGCCCTCTGCTGGGCTGGAGGGTCCGCCTTGCGCGCCCCAGCCAGGGGCCCCGGCCCGGGTACTGCTGGTCTCTGAGCAGGGTCTGGCAAACATCTGAGGCCCTGATGGTGTCTAAGCCAAGGACTCTGTGTCTCTGGCAGCGAGGGGGCCTGGCGTCTGTCTACAGCCCACACTGGGAGCGGGGCGGCTGCGACACTGCACAGTTCACAGCCAGGAGGGGCCCTGGCAGGTGGGGGAGTCAGCCAAAATGAGGTGTCAAGAAAGGTGGGTGACTCCCACAGGGGAGCACCTCTCCTGGGAGCCTCAGGGCAGGGGGCCAGGCTGGCTGCAGCGCAGGCTCTGGGGGGCTGGGCCTTTGCCTTGCTCTGGAGTGCAGTGTTCTTGGGCAGGAGCTGCCCGCCCTGAGGGCCCTGTCCTCGGAAGTCCTGGGAGCGAGGTGGGCCCCGTGCTGGGCATGTCTAGAGCCACGTGGGCACTTGAGTTGCTTTCCTGGCCCCAACCTGGTTTCTGCCTCCTTGCGCCCTATTCCTGCCTGCTCTGCACAGGGGATTGGAGGGTAGCCATGTCTCAAGGGCATCCCCCTCCTACCCTTCCTGCTCGCTAGGGAGCTTCATGGATTGTTCTCATTTCGAAGTTGTTTGCTCCTCTCCAGTTCCGCAGGCTTCCCCCATCTGGACTGCGACGAGGCTGTTGTCCTGGGTGGCGGCCAGCCACTCCCTGGCAGCAGCATTCTGGCAAATCCCAAATCAGCTTGGTCCCTCAAGTGGCCACTGCCCAGCCCCTGGGCTGGGTACCCGCCGTCCTCACCAGGATGCAAACCTGCTGAACTGGCCTGGCAAGGTGGCAGTGCCAGCCACTGGCACACCTGCCCCGAGTTCCTTTGGACTTGGTTTTCCAAACACGCGTTCTAAAGCTGACCTCCCAGCCCCAGGTTCATCTCGGATCACAGCAGAAAGGCTGTGCCAGTCCCCAGGGCCCCACAGGGGAAGCCGCCTGTGTCAACGGTTGGAAGTCGCTGGCTGAGCCCACCCACCCTGGTGTCCTTTGGGGCCTGTGTTGGCAGGAGGCCAGTGTGGTCTCAAGGGGGCTGAGGCACTTCCTCCTGTTGCCTTTGCGGTTTGCTTGGCAGGTTCAAGAGGAGGAGGGAAGGAGGCCCCCGGGTGGGGATGGGCCAGTGCAGTAAGGACTATATCTTGGCATCCGGGCCTGTAACAGCAGGCTCCAGGAGGTGGCCAAGGTCAATTTCCAGCCTCCTCGGTCCCCTTTCCTGGTCTACAGGAGCTGCACAGGGCTGGGTGGGGGAAGACTCCCACAGGGGCAGGTGGCTCCGGGGCAGAGAAGTTTACAGAAGTCTGCATGATGGCCTCTTAGTAACTTTAATGACATGTTTGTTTAGCGGGAGGGATCCTCGGATGCTGCCCGGAGCTATTTCTGAGCCACCTCCAGAGGAAGGGTTCCCGGGAGGCCTGTGGCTTTGGCTGAGGCAGGTGTGTGCTGGGTGGCTCCCCCGACCTCTCCTGGGTGACCAGGTTGGGGAGCGGGGCCCTGGGGGGCGGGGCCGTGTTAGGACAGCAGAGGCTTGGGGCCAGTGCGATTTGACAGGCTGGGGATCCACCTTCTAGCCCCTCTGTCCCAGGCCCCACCTGACCCCTTGCAGTCCCTTTTCTGGAGCGGGAACTGAGGGGTGGGCTGAAGACTTCCCAGGGTTGCTGGGCGCTGCCCCCTAGAGTCCGGGCTGCGGCCCCACCCCCTTTTCTGTGAGTGCCCTCCCCCATGATGGGCTCCAGCTGGGATCTGGGCACTCCAGAGGGGCTCTCCAGCCCCTGTCCACCCTACCTGCTCCATCCCAGGCTGCCTGTCTGGACTCCTTCAGGTCCCCTGTGGCCCAGGGGTGACTCAGGGTCTGCTCCTGGCCCAGGGGTGAGGGTCCGGTGGCCTCAGGCACCCCAGGCCCTGCCCCCCACCCTCCCTGCCTCACAGCGCCCACTGTGAGGTCAGCGCCTTCCGACAAGTTCTGTCCAGAGGTACCCGGTGGGGCTGGGGGCTGGACATGGCCCCGCCTCCCCAGCCCTACTTCTGCCTGCTCGGCAGCCCTCTTGGCCTGATATGTCTGTCCCTCTTGCTCATCCCCGCCGCAGGTGCCTCCTCCGGCCCCCCCCCCAGCCAGGGCCCCTCCCTCGTCCAGGTGGGGCGGGCTGTGCCCTGTCCTCCCCATGGCCACCAGGGCAGGGGGCAGGCCCAGGGCATCCCCCAGCTGCTGGTGACCAGCCCCACTGCCACGCTGCCCTGTCTCTGCAGCCGGAACCTACTGTGAGTGCAGCCTGGGCCTCAGCCGCGAGGCGCTCATCGCCCTGCTCGTGGTGCTGGCCGGCATCAGCACCAGCTGCTTCTGCGCCCTGGTCATCGTGGTGGTGGGCGTCATGAGGGCCAAGTGGTGCGTGGCCCCACCCTCAATGCCCCGCCCCTAGTGCCTGGGAGCCGGTCTGAGCAGGGGTGGGCCAGCCTCACTGTGCTACCTGGCCTGTGTCCTGTGGCTGCCCGAGAGGGGCCTCTGTCCCCTGGGTGGCATGTCACGGGGGCCTGGGGATGGCACCTCCCAGGGTGTGTGCTGGGGCCAGCCCTGGCAGTCTGGGACTCACACCCCCCTCTATCCCCCAGTGACTCAAGCACCCCCGGACAAGTGGACAGCAGGTGAGTGACCCCTGGGCCAGGCAGAGCCCACCGGCAGCTTCAGGAGCACTGTCGCTGAGGCGGGGTCCGCTGGGTGCCCCTGGCCGCCTGATCACCCGTGTCCTGGCAGGTTGGTGGGGCACTACGGGGTCCAGGAGGACCACATGGATCTGCACACGGTGCACGTGGAGTCCCACCTCGTGGACCCTGACCTGGAGACCTCTGTGATGGCGTCCCTGGAAGACCAGGGCCTCGGGGCCGTCCCTGTGGACGCTCTGGAGGAGCCACCCCCACCCCCACCGCCACCTCCACCCCCACCCCCACCTGAGCAGGACTGAGGGCTGTGAGGCTGCTGGGGCGGGGGGCGGGGATTAAAGAGTATTTAGTGGTTCTGCACTGTCTTCCCTGCATCCTGGGGGTGGGCCGAGGCTCTGGTCTTCAGTGGGAAGGTGCCGGGTCCTCCATGCCCCCAGGCAGGGGCCACACCGCTCGTGTTTCCCGGCCTCCTGCCATCACCCTCAGCCCCACAGTCCTGCACCTCATGCTGCTGCGTGCCCTGGAGCTGTCAGGGACCCTGGGAAACCCAGCCCAGGCGGGGGCCACACCTCTGGCTACTCCAGGAGGGAGCTGGGTGTGACAGGCACGACCGAGTGACGCCCCTGCCCCCACTCACACTTTCCCTGGAGGTTCCAGGAGAGCCTTTGGCGGCTGGGCGGGACACTGATCTGCCTCCGGAGACTCCTCTGCCTCAGTGTACGCCCCCGCCCCAGGCCCCCACTGTGTGCTCAGCTCCCACAGATTAGGGGTTGCCATGGGGGTGGGGCGTCCCTCCTGGGTTCTCAGGGTGCCTCTGGGGAGAAGCTGAATGGAGGGTATGGGGGCTGGGCCAGGCAGGGCCCCTTGGGGAGTGTGGGGCCACTTCGCTCAGCCCCAGCAGGGCAAGACTGGGGTGAAGGGGTGAGGAGCAGGGCGCCCTAGGGACATCTGAGAGTTGGGTGAGTATGGGCGGGTTGGGTTCCAGCTCTCAGACCTCAGTGGGTGCTGGTCTTGTCAGCGCTGTGGCCAGCGCAGAACCTAGGGAGCCCAGAGCTCTGGGACAGGCGGTTGGCAGTGCAGGCGTTGGCTGTGTGCCCGGCCCCCGCCCAAGGCGGGAGCCAGTCCTGGGACAGGAACTGCCGACACTCCAGCCGGAGTGTTAATATTGGTGTAGGCGCCTTAGGGACAGGCTCCGGCTACAACGGGCTCCGAGGTCCCACGGGCTCTGGGGACGTACAGCCCCACCGTGGCCCCAGCGCTGCCCCCATGCGGAGCCCCTCCTTTCTCTCGCGGCCGCTGCCCTCGCTGTTGCTATTGCTGCTGCTGTCCCCGTCGCTCACCCGGGCCCAGGTGCTCCTCGCGGCCACCCCCTTGGGGCCCAGCGGCTCCCCGGCCTGCCCTGAGGAGTGTGCGTGCGCGCCAGGCGGCCAGGCCAACTGCTCCGCGCGCGCGCTGCCCGCCGTGCCCGCGGGCCTGAGCCGGCGCGTGCGCGCGCTGCTGTTGGACCACAACTGCGTGCGCTCTCTGCCGCCCGGCGCCTTCGCTGGCGCGGGCGCGCTACTGCGCCTGGACCTACGCGAAAACGGGCTGCACACGGTGCACGCTCGCGCCTTCTGGGGCCTGGGCGCGCTGCAGCGGCTCGACCTGGGCTCCAACCAGCTGGAGACGCTGGCGCCCGGAACCTTCGCGCCCCTGCGCGCGCTGCGCGTCCTCTCGCTGGCCGGCAACCGCCTGGCGCGCCTGGAGCCCGCGGCGTTGGGCACGCTCCCGCTGCTGCGCGGGCTGAACCTGCAGGACAACGCGCTGGCGGCGCTCGGGCCCGGCCTGCTGGCCGCCCTACCCGCCCTTGACTCACTCCGTCTGCGCGGCAACCCCTGGGCCTGCAGTTGCGCGCTGCGCCCGCTGTGCGGTTGGCTGCGCCGGCACCCGCGTCCCCCAGGTGAGCCGTCGAGGTGGGGGCGCCAGATAAGGCGTGGGAGGAGGGTCGCCAGGTGAGGTGTGTGGGGAGGTGCTAGATGAGCCGTCGATGGGGGGCGCCGAGTGAGCTGTCGGGGACGCGCGCGCTAGCCCCGGCCGCTGGCCGCCGCCTGACGGCCAGCGGTCTGCCCGCAGAGACCGAGACCCTGTTCTGCGTGTTCCCGGGGCGCTTGACGCTCAGCCCTCTGACCGCCTTCACCGACGCCGCCTTCAGCCACTGCGCACAGCCACTGACCCTGAGGGACCTGGCTGTGATCTACGTGCTGGGACCCTTCTCCTTCCTCAGCAGCCTGGCCGCCTGCCTGGCGCTGGGCTCCGTGCTCACTGCTTGCCGCGCCCGCCGCCGCGCCGCCGTCCGCCGCCCGCCCAGGAGACCACTGCTGCACCCCACGCCCGCCGCCCCGCCCGCGGACCCTGGGAGCTCCGCCGCCGCCCAAGCCTGAGCCAGCCTCCAGGGACCAGGGGTGCTACCGCCCTGCAGGGGCACCCTCCGGCCGGCTCTCTAGAAACTTCCCCACCCCCTCCCTTCACACCCCCTGCAGGCGTCAACAGGCAGCACAGACGGAAACTTTCGTGACATTCCTTTACGCAACACCGCTGCACACACAGGGTCATGGGGGCGGCGCCCCGGGGTCGCTGGGGTGGAGGGGCGCGGCGGCTGCACACGGGCCGTGCGGGGAAGGCACGCGCTCAGACGGGAGGGCTGGGCCTGTACAAGGTGGCGGGCGGGTCACACACCCGGAGCGAGGGGGCGGCGGCGCCGGGCAGGGCTGAGGGCAGTCCCCCGCTGTCCCGGGCTACGGGAGGGCGAGGCTTAGAGAAGCCTCGGTCCTCTGGAGTCTGGAGGAGAACAGAGGCCGCGGGGAGCCCGAGAGCGCCACCCCCGCCCCCGGATGCTGCTGGCCCGGAATCCGGACTGAGATGGGGAGGAGGCAGGGCGAGCCGGCGGCGGGATCTAGGGGGAGAAGGGGCGTGGGTCGGGGTGCAGCGAGAAGAGGGGAGAAGTCGAGCTGAGGCTGGAGTAGAGCAGGCGCTTGAGGACAGGGTGGCCCAGCCTGTGGGCCCGGCTGTGGCTCCGGTGGTGGCGGGGCAGGATGGGGCTGTCTCTGCTCCAAGCCCCTCCATCCAGGGGCAGAGTAACCCCTCTCGCCACGCTCCAGCCCCCAGGGCCCTGCCTCTGCCGGAGCGCCCTGCGGCCCTGCCCAACTGGCTCAGCCTCCGGTCTGCTCTCGGTCCAGCAGGGGCCTGCCCGCCAGGTGGCGGGCAGACAGATGGAGGGGAGGCCCGGGGCGGGCGGTCTCTGGGGCGGGTGGGCTTCCCTCAGGCCTTCCCGAGCAGCAGGACCATCAGTGTCCTTGGCTGGGCTAACTGGGCAGGCGGGCGGGCGGCTCCGGGGGGGGGCCTCACACCACGGTGCTGACCGAGGGATCTGAGAGGTTGAGCGGGCCCGTGATATCAGTGGGATGATACTGCTGTAAAATAGAAATACACAGACAAGGCGGCCCGTTAGCCCCGAGGCTCGGGGGCACGTGTGGGGCCAGGATGGGGACCGGCCAGCCGGCTGACCGGCAGGCGGGTGGGCGGGCGCGGCCTGGGGGAGGCTGGGGGGTACTCCTCCCCCTGACCCCATCGTGCTCCGGGGGCTCTGCGCGGGCCGGGCCGCTGTCCCGTCCGTCTGTCTGTCTGTCTGCGGGGGAGGGGGGCAGAGGAGGGCGGGCAGGGCGTCTCAGCTCTCCCTATGACGGGCACACATCTGCAGCTGGCCCTCCTCCCTCTCAATAGCGCGTCGCGGCAGCACTGTGTCTTTTTGGGTTTGCAAAGCGCCGCGTCCACCCCCGGTGCTCTATAAATAAGAACCAACAATCAATACCCGCCGGCCCCGCTGGCCGCCAGGGACCCCAGCCAGCCCCGAGCGCCCAGTGCCGCCCTGGCCGGGACCGGCCTCAGGACAGGGGCCACGGATCTCAGCAGCTGGACCGACCCTCCCGCCCCAAGAAGCCCCCCGCCCAGCCTCCCTCTGAGGAGCCGCCCAGCCCCAGAGACGGGATGGGAGCCGGGCCGCTCGCCCCTGCCCAGCGCCCCAGCTGGCAGTGCCCCGGCAGAGGCACCCCTGCAGGGCGGGGCCCCAGATGCCACGTGGTTCCAGGCTGGTGCCCAGGAGGCTCAGGCGGGGAGTCCTGGGGTGGGGGTGGGGTGTGTCCTGGGAAGGGCACCGTGCGCATCTCTGAGCTGCCTGAGGACGTCTACAGGGCCATGTCTGCTCTGGGCGGGGCCCTGGACTCGGTGACACCTTCTGAAAGCCCCCATTGCCTGCAGGGCGTTTTGTGCTTCCTGCTTTGGCCGACTGCCCCCAAAGTGCTGCTCCACCTGTCTGCTGGGGACCCCTCCTCTCCCCTGGGCCACCCCTCACGCCCACCCCATGCTCTGACCTTGTCCCTCCCTGCAGCATAGGCCCCACCCATTTCCTGCTGGGCATGGCCATGGACGCCTCAGCCTGGGGTGGCCCCACTTGCTCTTTGTGTCTCTTGCTTTCAGCACCATGGACCCTCACTCTCCACTCATTTCTCCCGTACCAATCCCCTCCCCCAGGCTGCCTAGCAGCCAGGCCTCACAAGTCCCTCTTGGGACACCCTGGTGGCTTCCTGCTGGGACCCTGATTCCTCTGCCCCACCTCCATTGTGCTAGGTGGCCCTGCAAATCCCGCTTCGGGTCGGGGGGCTTCCTGTGGGCAGGAGGCCACTGGGCCGTGCTCTCTGCTGGCTCCCTGGGCGGCCTCTTTCCATGTGCTGGGACCAGGGTGCCCCTAGCAAGGCTGTGTCTCCTTCAGGGGCTGTGTGACCTGAGTGTATCAGGGGCAGTGAGAAGCTGCCTGAGGCAGGAGGGCAGGGAATTCAGGCTCAAAAGGTGGGGAGGCCTGGCTCTGACCGGGGACCCTGTGAGCATGGCCAAGGACAGCAGCTGAGGCGCTGGTCTCCCCAGAGGCCCCCCTTCCTGGACCTTTCTTTGGGAGCCTCCCCGTCCCGCTGGGCTCTTAGACCCGCTGGGTTTGCTGCCGCTTTTGCAGGGGCCCTGCTCAGCCCGGTCCCACCCCTTCCCTCCCTGAAAGCCCCCTGTGGCCGGGGCCGGTCCCAACTCCAGGCCCCGGCTGTCCACCCAGAGGGACCCAGGCCCGGCCCCCAGCCCCCGGCCCACACAGAGACCACATGGGAGATGTGACACACATGGCTCTGGTGAGACAGGTGACACGGGTGTCGGGGTGGGGCCGGCGGCCAGACAGACGGACGGGATGGGACGTCGCAGGGGAGGTGGCGGCCCCTCTAGCAGAGGCTAGATAGAGAACAGGGACAGAGGTGGTGCGGCGCCTCCGCCCCACAGGCGCGGAGTGGGGACGCGGCCACTCTGGGCCCCGGGGGCCCTGGCCCCGAGAGGCAGCGACTGACTGACTGACCCACGACATGACACAGCTTCAGGATGGTGTGTGGTGGTCATGGCATGGCGGCGGGAAAGGGGTGGGCAGACCAGGGCAGAGAGACACACAGGGGGGACAGGACCGGGGGTGGGGCTCAGAGGAGAAGGAGCCAGAGAACCGCCCTAAGTCGGGGTGGGGGAAGAGGCGCACCCCTTGGGGTGGGCGGAGGGGCCGGCTCTGGAGAGAGACGGGGCGGGAGCGGGGTGGGGGTGGGTCTGGGTGGGAGGACGAGTGGGAGAGCACGCCTGATGCACGGGGGACGGAGACACGGGGGCGTGGGGCGAGAAGAGTCGGAGACGTGTGACTGGGGTGTCCCCCCTTACCGTGTCTTTGGAGGACCTACGTCTCTTGAAGCTGGAAGCCAGGGTGGAGGTGATAGCCCTAAATGTGGCTTTCTTTTTAGGGTCGGGCTCTGCTCTACCACTCTTTCTATCCTAAAATGAATATGTATAAGTGATTAGACAGCTAAGGGTGCCAGCCACACCTGCCCTCGCCTGCTCCTGGGGGCCACTGCCCGGCCTGGCTGGCCGCTCGGGCCCTCACTCCTGCCTGCCTCCCTGTGCTGGACTGTCGGACTGACGGCCGGGCCCACTCGGGCGGCCGCATCTCCTGCCCGCTTTCGGCCTGACCTTACTCGTGCTGGGGGCCGGGCTTGGGGGTCCTGGTTGGCTCTCTTCTCAGGAGGTCCGCCTCGGGCCCTGGTTCCTGGGCGGCCCTGGCTGTCAGGTGTCCCCAGGAGGAGAATGGTGTTGGCTGGTGCCCTCCGAGGGCTGGAAGTGGCACCCCATGGGCTCCCCGCCCATCCGCATGGAGGCCGATGACCCCAGAGGGGGCACACACCAAGAGACAGGAAGGGGCCAAGGGGCCGAGGGGCCGAAGGCGGGTGGCGAGACGGAATTGGAGGTGGACAGAGGCGGCTCCTGGGACCCCGGCCTTGGCTCTGGTGGCCCTTGTGCCCACCTGTGAGAAGCAGCGACCAGGTCCCCAGGGGACCTGTGGGGCCAAGAGCAAGAGTGGGCAGATGAGAGGTGTGGGGGCTCCAGCACCCCCACCCCCCATGGCCCTCGCTGCAACACCAGCGGCATCCCAGGTTGGCAGGACCAAGGGCCTGCTCAGGACCCGGTTCCGGGAAGGCACCCGGAGAAAGAAGCGATGCAGCAAACTGCGGGCCGACCGTGGGGACGCTGCCTAACCGGGCCCCAGCAGCCATGGCTGCGGGCTCCGTCCCCCCTTGCTGGAGGTAAGTTCCCACAGACACGGCCAGGGGTGCCAGGCCAGCCAGCACATTTCTGTCGGAGTCAAGGAGCACAAGGACACAGCAGGGAAGGGGGCCCCGAAGGGTATCGAGGGGGCTTGGGGTGGCAGAGGGCAAAAGGCATCTTGGACTCACGCGCTACCCGCAGGTGGGTCCCTGTCTTACCCTGCCTCAGTTTGCCTTCCTATGGAAAGGGCGCCAGGGCGCGAGTCTGGAGACCGAGGGGCCGGGCAGAGGCTGGGCGCCAGGTGCGCGGCCTCCCTCGGCCCTGCTTTGGAGTGGGCAGCCACCTACAGGCAGCCCTCCCGCCAACGCTGCCCACGAGCCCCGGGAGCACTCACCGCTGCCCCTGGCCATGGCTCCCAGCTCCAGTCCTGCCCACGTGGGCTCCTGAGCTCCCGCACCTGGGGCAGGGCCAGCTGCCCGCCCGGAGCCAGAGCCAATGCCACGGCCTGCAGGGACAGAGGAGGGCCGGGCCGCGGGCACCAGGCCTCGGAGGGTGGCCTGCCCTACCTGCAGGTTCTTCCTCCACACGTTCACCGCTGCAAAGGCCAGCTGCATCTGCTTCCGGCGCGCGTCCTTGTGCCGCTTGTAAGCGATCTCAATGAAGATCAGGAAGATGCCGGCCACGATGCCCCCAGCCACCAGCATGAAGACCCCTGTGCAGCCAGAACACAGCCTTCAGCTGCTGGCTGGCAAGGGGCCCTGCTGAGCCTCACCCCCAGAGTCAGAGGATGGCACTGAGGGGAGTGCGGGGGGGGGGGCCCACCTGCCATGTTCTCGAAGGTGAGGGTAGCAGGGGCGTTGCTTCGTGAATCACATTCCTGGTACCGCACCCAAGTCTTATCCAGGTCTTCCATGAAGCCATTCTCATGGGACCTGGGCAAGCAGGGGGTATAAATGAGGGCCCTGGAGTGGGCAGAGCCTGCAGCGAGTGGCCCAGAGTTGGGCGGGGCCTGCACTGGGCAGAGCCTTGATTCAGGTCCCGGCTGGAGTGGACACTGCCTAGAGCAGGCCGGTGGGCGGGGCCTGGGGAGACAGGGCGGGGCCTGTGCGTCTCTGAGACGGTTGAGGGCCGAGCCCAGATGCCAGAAGGGGTTGGGTGTGGCCACGGGGGCACTCGGTGGGGTCTGCCTCTGTGGGGAGGCTCTTGGAGAGAGGTGGTGGGGACAGGGGAGGGCCCGACCCACTGCAGACTCACTTGAGAATGGACAGGGAGACGTTCTGCTTCCAGGGGCTGTCCTTGCGCATGCCGATGCCGAAGCCCGAGCGGAAGAAGAGCTCGCCTGTGGTTACCAGGTCGCACTTCTGAGAGGCCTCGAACTCCAGCACCGCAGAGTCCCAGATGAAGGCGTGCAGCTTGCTACGGGCAGGGGTGAGGGGTGAGGGGGCCCCCTGCGCTGTATTTGGCGGCCTCGCCCCCCCTCATCTCCCTTGTCACGGGAGGCCTGCGCACCTGCAGCCCAGTTGGCCCTGCCCTACCCGGACGCCTCACACCTTTACCCTTCCGTGGTCCCCGTGGTCCCCACAGCCTGGACACCCTCTCCTGGCTCACTTTTCTTCTATGGCCTGGAGCCCTCCCTCTACTAGTGCCACCTGCCCTCCGCCCCGCCCCTCACCGGCCCACCCTGCCCCACGCCCCGCCCCTCACTTGTCCCGCACGGCCTGGATGGCCTCAGCTGCGGTCTCGTAATTGTGCTTCTCCATGTGCCGGTACATGGTGCTCAGCTCCACCTGCCGCCGGAAGTAGATGTCCACCGAGCTCTGCTTCACTGTGGCGTAGATGAACTTGTCCGAGGGGTTCCTCAGCTGCAGGGCCAGAGGGCGGGGCTCGCAGCTGCTCCCGGGGCCCGGCGCCCACTTGAGGCGGACCCCCCCAGCCCTCACTTCCCCCTCCCCCAGCAGGCCGGGTCTCACCCGCGGGTCGTTGATGCCGGTGATGCGCTCCTCAGGTCGGTCCAGCACCAGGAAGGCCGCCAAGTTGGCGGTATAGGAGGCCACGATGATCATAGCGAAGCCGGCCCACACCATGCCCAGGATGCGCGCCGAGAAGCTCCGGGGGGCGCCTGCGGGGGAGAGGCACGCGTCAGCGTCGGCGGGGCGGAGGGCGGGGCGGCTGGGGGCGGTGGGGTGGGGCGTGGCCTCACCCTCCCCGATGCCCGAGTTGAGCAGGACGCCCCAGGAGAACCACATGGCCGAGGACAGGGTCAGCGCGTCCTCCTCCTCCTCCTCGCTGTTCACCTTAAACCGGCCGAAGGGGCTGCAGGGCGCAGAAGGCGGGAGGGAGAGTGGGGGAGAGGCAGCCTTGTGGCCCGCTCGGCCCGCTCGGCCCGCTCCGCCTGCCCGCCCGGCGGTAGGTTGTCCGACCCGGGGGGGGGGGGGGGGCGCTCACCTGAAGCGGTCTAACAGGTACAGCATCACGGCCACCACGTGCACCGACAGCCCCACCAGCAGCCACAACGTGCTCTGGAAAGGCTGCATGAACGAGTCCAGCGTGCTCCGAGGGATCTCCTGCGGGTGGGCAGGCCATCAGCGCCGCCGGGCCCTCCCGTGGCCCTCTCCCACCAGGCCAGCCCGGAGCGCCCACCTTCTTGACCAGAATGGTCAGGCCCTGGTACTTGAAAGGCTTGGAGAACTCGATGTACTGCGCACGCTCGTTGTTGATGGTCAGCGGCGCCACGATCATGTCCGCCTGCCCGCTGAGCAGCTCGCCCATCATTCCGTTCCACTCCTTCTTGTTGCTGTTGTTCACCTGCGCGGTGGCGGAGCGCGCGAGGGTGCAGACTGGAGGGACTGGCTCCCACCGCGGCCCCGCCCCGGCTCCCAGACACTGCCCCGCCCACCCCACCACAGACTCCGCCCACTCCGGATCCCGCCGCGGCTCACAGACACTGCCCCTCCCACCCCACCACAGGCTCCGCCCACTCCGGATCCCGCCTCGGCTCACAGGCCCCGCCCTATCCACTACAGGTACCACCCACTCCAGAATCGCAGGCCCCGCCCCCGCAGGCCCCGCCCCCTGACTCCGTCTGGAGCGCCACGATCCCGGCATCTGCGCGCGGTGGCGAGCCCCTTGCCGCGTACCCGCTCCTGCGTGCCGAACTTGCCGTCGGCCACGAGGTGCACCTCGTAAGTGAAGTTCATGGTCCGCGCCAGCTTGATGAGCAGGTCGATGCAGAAGCCGTAGCAGCACTGAGGCACCGTGTGGCGGGCTAAGGGGTGGGAGGCGGTAAGCGCTGGGCTCCCTGCTGCCCCATCGCCGCCCGCCCCGCGCCCCGCGCCCCGCGCCCTCGATCGCGACCCCTGCACTCACGGCTGCCGGGCGACGTGTCGTTGGGCCCGGTGCAGATCACCTTCTTGACGGGGTCACCGTTGACTGTGAACTCCTCCTTGCACGTCCCGTCATTCAGCGTGGGCTTGACGTACACGAAGGGCTCCTGGTGGATTGTCACGATCTGGGAGTGGGCGGATGGGGGCGACTCAGCCTTGACCACAGACCCCTCGGCAGTCAGCCTCCCCAGTGCCTTGACCCCCACCAGCCACTGCTGGCCTGGCCCCCTCTCCAGGCTCCTTGGCCACCATGAGCATCCCTAGCTTCCTGGTGCCCTCAGGAGCCAGGGATCCCCTGCCGCTGCCCACACCACCCTTGACTCTTCATCAGATGGCGTTCAGCTTTCTGGATGCACACACCCTCTGGAGACACTGTCCCTTCTCTTGGCCACTTTTCCTTCAGGCTTAGCTTAGACACCACTCCCTCCATCAGGGAAGCCCGCCTGGACATCCAGTTTGCTCTGGGCACCTTCTCTGACTTCCCAGAGAAACTTCCTGACCCAGCCCAGAGCCAAGAGGCTGGGCATGTCCACAGACGTCCACCCAGAGCCGGCACAGAGCCTGTGACCCTCAGGGGCCCAACTGTGTCTCTCCTCCTGGCCTCCTGCCTCGCAGCCTCCCCAGCAACCCAGTAGGCACTGGCCTGCTGTCTCTGGTCTTTGATCATCGTCTTTCCTCCCTTTCTCTATCCCTTTTGATGTTACCCTTTCAGGCATCTTGTCCTGGACCTGCCTCTTAAGTCCTGGGGCTCCTTGGGCCGTGCTTGTGACCTCTTGCTCCTCCCTGTCCTTCTGGGGTGGGGGGGCAAGGCGTTGGAGCTGAGTGTGGGAAGTGAGCAGGAAGTAGGAGGCTGGTGGTGCTGTGCAGAAGAGCAGGACCAGGACCAGGAAAGGCAGGGAGGTGTGAAGAGGGGTGAACAGACCCTTGGGGGGGGCCCTGGGTGTCTTGGGGAGAGTGATCCTGAAGGTGTGGGCACGTGTGGTATGGCTTTGCTCCATGGTGGAGTGGGATCCTCAGATGGAGTTGATTTGCTCTTTAAACTTTTCTTCTGATTTTTCATAATGCAATAAGATGTTTGTGCTTTAAAAAATCAGCGTGTAAAGAATGTCTGCCTTGAGCATCATGCTCTTTTAGGATCTATCTAAAACCCAACCCACTGCTGTTGAGTCCAATCCGCTTCCTATCGATCCTATAGGACAGAGTAGAACTGCTCCATAGGGTTTCCAAGGAGCGACTGGTGGATTTGAACTGCAATGGGTTTTTAAGATCTATCTATATGAGGGAAACTTCATTTGCTGATGTGGCACAACTCAAAATGAGAGCAGCTGCAAACATCCATTAACAACTGGAATGTGGAATGTACAAAGTATGAATATAGGAAAATTGGAAATCGTCAAAAATGAAACGGAATGCATAAACATCGGTATTCTAGGCATTAGTGAGCAGAAATGGACTGGTATTGGCCATTTTGAATCAGACTGTCATATGGTCTACTATGCTAGGAATGACAAATTGAAGAGGAATGCCATCACATTCATTGTGAAAAAGAACATTTCAAGATCTATCCTGAAGTACAGCACTGTCAGTGATGGGATAATATCCATACACTTACAAGGAAGACCAGTTAATATGACTATTATTCAAATTCACACACCAACCACTAAGGCCAAAGATGAAGAAATTGAAGATTTTTACCAACTTTTGCAGTCTGAAATTGATTGAACATGCAATCACGATGCATCGATAATTCCTGGTGATTGGAATTCAAAAGTTGGAAACACAGAAGAAGGATAAGTAGCTGGAAAATATGCCTCAGTGATGGAAATGATGCCAGAGATCACATGATAGAATTTTACAAGACTAATGACTTCTTTATTGCAAATACCTTTTTTCAACAACATAAATGGCGACTATACACGTGGACCTCGCTGGATGGAATACACAGGAATCAAATCGACTACATCTGTGGAAAGAGACAATGAAAAAGCTCAATATCTTCAGTCAGAACAAGGTCAGGGGCTGACTGTGGAACAGACCATCAACTGCTCATATGCAAGTTCAAGTTGAAGCTGAAGAAAATTAGAACAAGTCCATGAGAGCCAAAGTATGACCTTGAGTATATCCCACTTGAATTTAGAGACCATCTCAAGAATAGATTTGACACGTTGAATGCTAATGACCCAAGACCAGATGAGTTGTGGAATGACATCAAGGGCATCACACATGAAGAAAAACATCATACATTAAGCAAATGGGAAAGAAAGAAAAGACCAGAATGGATGTCAGAAGAGACTCTGAAATTTGCTCATGAACGTCAAGTAGCTAAAGTGAACGGAAGAAATGATGAAGTAAAAGAGCTGAACAGAAGATTTCAAAGGGCAGCTCAAGAAGACAACGTAAAGTACTATGATGACATGTGCAAAGAGCTGGAGTTAGAAAACTAAAAGGGAAGAACATGCTCGGCATTTCTGAAGCTGAAAGAACTGAAGAAAACATTCAAGTCTTGAGTTGCAATAGTGAAGAATTCTATGGACAAAATACTGAACAACGCAGGAAGCATCAAAAGAAGATGGAAGGAATACACAGAGTCACTATACCAAAAAGAATTGGTAAATGTTCAACCATTTCAGGGGGCAGCATACGATCAAGAACCAATGGTACTGAAGGAAGAAGTCCAAGCTGCACTGAAGGCACTGGCGAAAAACAAGGCTCCACGAACTGATGGAATACCAACTGAGATGTTTCAACAAGCGGATGCAGCGCTGGAAGTGCTCACTCATCTATGCCAAGAAATTTGGAAGACAGCTCCCTGGTCAACTGACTGAAAGAGATCCATATTTATGCCTATTCCCAAGAAAGGTGATCCAGCAGAATGTGGAAATTATCAAACAATATCATTAATATTACACGCAAGTAAAATTTTGCTGAAGATCATTCAAAAGTGGCTGTAGCAGTATATTGACAGGCAACTGCCAGAAATTCAAGCCGGATTCAGAAGAGGATGTGGAACGAGGGATATCATTGCTGATGTCAGATGGATCTTGGTTGAAAGAAGAGAATACCAGAAAGACGTTTACCTGTGTTTTAATGATTATGCAAAGGCATTTGACTGTGTGAATCATAACAAATTATGAATATCATTGGGAAGAATGGGAATTCCAGAACATTTTATTGTGCTCATGAGGAAACTGTACCTAGATCAAGAGGCAGTCGTTTGAACAGAACAAGGGGATACTGAATCGTTTGAAGTCAGGAAAGGTGTGTGTCATGGTTTGAAAACTGTGAATGGATAGAAGAGCGGCAGTGGCAGAGGACCAGCAACAGCAGAGAACCTGCAGCAGCAGAGAAGCGGCAGCAGCAGAACCAGGAGACCAGCACGACTGAAGCCGACCTGTGGAGTGAGAGAGCTGAGTGCCTGTGCACCAGACGCTTCCTGGTGGAGTGGGGTGCCTCCAGGCACTTATCGGTGGAGCTAGGCTTGCTGACCCATGGAGAAAAGGAGCTGAGTGCCTGTGCACAAGAGGTTTCCTGGCAGAGTAGGGTGCCTCCGGGCACTTACCATTGGAGCTACAGAGCTTTGGAACACTTGCCCCAGCAGGGCAGATGCAGGCGTTGGGGCCCGAGGGCTGAGAGGCCACAGGAAACAGAAGCAGAAGCTGAAGAGACAAGGAACACAAGAAGTCAAGCTGCCTCAGTCTCAAAAGATATGGCCATGACCTCTGGGGTTTCAAAGGGTGGAGTCATGGCCTCTGGTGCTTCTAAGGGTGGAGTTGCCACTCAGATGGACTGGGAGAATGATGTGCCTAAAGCCAAGGGAGCAGAGTTGCTGTCCCAGTGGGCCTGGAAGACGGAGCCCAGCAGTCTCCACTCAGAATCTGGAGACTGTGGCCAATACCTAGAGTCTGGAGGGCAGGGCCATTGGGTAAATTGTCTCAGAGAACAGAAGATTATTTTCAAAGCCTTGAGGGCTAATGTAATGTGTTCTGCTGACTTGCTTGGTGCCTGTTATCACTTCTTTTCCTCCACTTTCTCCCATT